CAAGGAGTCCAAGAGGGAAGGAACTTCTGTGACCAATCTACCTGTGCGGCTGGTGGGGCTTCAGTGCTCCTGAGGCCTCGGACATCCAGGTGGGGCTTCCTAAACACAGGGCTCCTAAGCCAGATGTTAGGAAACCCCATAGAAGGGTGGATTCTTAGCACCCAAGTGGGAATCTCCCGGTGACACTGTAATTCAGGTAGAACTTCAGAGTGGTGACGGGCACAAAGATTAAATGTAGGTGATAGTATACAAGGCAAAAATAAAGAATTGATGAATAAGTCGAAATTTTCCTTGAAGGGACTCGTGTAGTGGCATAGTAGCTAAAGCCACTGCTTAACAACACTGGCATCCCATATGAGCACCAGTTTGAGTCCCATCTGCTCCGTTCTCACCCAGTTCCCTGCTGGTGTGCCTGGGAGGGCAGCAGAAATTGGCCCAAGTACTTGGGCCCCTGCCACCCACATTGGAGAACCCGATAGAGTTCCTGGCTCTCAGCTTCAGTTATAGGCATTTGGTGAGGGAACCAGAAAATGGAAGATTCATTCATTCATTTATTCATTCTCTCTCTCCCCCACCCTCTGTCTCTCTCCTGCCTCTCTTCCTCCCCCCTCCCTATCTCCCTCTCTCCCGCTTTTTCCTATGCCTCCCAACTTTGTATTTCAAATAAAAATCTTTTTAAAATTTTTTTTGTTGGAAAAAAATCAGACTTGCTAACCTATTTGGTTTTCTTCACTATAATATTTTGATTAGTTGGTTAATAAATTTATGAACTTTTTAAATCCCACTTGGAATGAATATTTAGTAATAGTTCCTGTCCAATGAAGTTTATATACATTGGATTTTTTGGTCATTCATTATACGTTTGATAGCAAAACTATTAGACCTGCGCAGCACAAAAGCAGTTAAAACATACTGAATACTTTTGTTTTTCTCAGAAAATATAAAATGTAGGTGAGGTCAGTCAATACAGATTAATATTTACCTGAAAATTTGATGTTTAAAGGTAGCCTTGGGACAGTTTATAGTGCTTAACTGTTTTAGCTTCTTGATGGAATAAGGGGAGGGCATTTCTAAGTCAGTGAGCTGTTTAACTCTTAGCAAGTTCAATTACTCTAAATTAATGTTACTTTTAACCAAAACAGAGGAAATCATGTAACCTCATCCTCAAATCTCTGTAACATCTACCTGGTCTGTCTGAACGGTGTGGCTAGAATTCTATAGTGCAGTATCTCAGGATAAGAGTAAAGCCATGTGTTGGGCTCATACACCAAATATGGTTAAATAATCAAGTCAAGAATCAACATTCATTTATGATACCACGTCAGACACCTGTATCACATTTCAGAATACCCAGGTTTGTGTTCCAGCTGTATTGCTGCTTTAAAAAAAAAAAAAAAAAAAAAGATTTGTTTATTTGAAAGCAGAGTTACAGAGACACAGAGAGAGCTTTCAATATGCTGGTTCACTCCTGATGTGGCCTCAGTGGCTGGCACTGGGCCAGGCTGAAG